AACCAGGGAGCCAACTTCCTGTCCCTCTTCCAGGAATCCAAAATGTATCCAACCTGGTGCATTCTGTGCAGGAATATGGGAGCTCCCTTCTCCGTTCTGAATGTTGTAAAAATTTCATCAGTGTTGTTCTGCGACCAGTTGACCAGATCCATTATTTTAAAATGTAATTCCAGAAAGGATCCAAAGATTCCCTCTCAGATAAGGCAGGACAAAGAGCCTTGGGAAGATAAGGCGCAGGAGCAAAGAGAAAATCATCTGCTCGCTTCCAGTGCCAAGAAAAAAAAACATGAATAAGGAATGACCGTCACAGCGCAGGGGGTGTTTCAAGGTACGAGCGGAGGCGTTCCCAAGGTGAACGAGATATGAAAGAATTATCTGACCCAGTATCTAAGATCACAAGTAAGCGACTCCTCTAGAGTCACAGGGATGTGAGGTTGCCGTTTTGGATCTTTTCTGATGATTACACATTATAGTTTAAGTTTTTCAAGCTTTTCCAGCGGGAAAGGGTGACTGGAAAAGCCGACAAGTGTAGAGGATGGTCGAAGACTGGTACTGATGGATGCGACCTCGCCAGACCCCACTGGGGTCGCAGGTGCTACAGTGCGCACCGTATGGGCAGGTTCAATGGATGGCAGCCCATCGGACCCAGCTCGTAATCTTGGAGCAGCAGGGCTGTTGTCAGCATGGTCGCTGAATAGTGGTAAGGGCAATGTCGGCGTTCACAAAGAAAAGGCAGAAGTAGAACACGTGGCTCCTCCGAGGGAACCTGCCTGACTGACATGGCAAGATTCAAACCTGCTGTCCATGCTTTACCTGAGAATTCCTCCCTCAGCACTCACTGGCAAGGAGGAGTATTCCAAAGCATGAACTCTAATACACAACTTCTGTACATCTCTTCCTGTCTTAGGCCAGACAGCTCAGGCTTCATTTCTGTTAGAATACCCAACAAGAGGTCATCCCGGAGTACACAAATGCTACAAAACCCTTCATTTGAGAAGAAATGGTCACCTGGGAAAGCAGTCGGATCAAAACATGCCAGAGAGGGCGGTACTGGGTAAAAAGTGCAAAACAGAGAAAGAGGAAGAATGATGTCTCTTCCTTCTTTGAGACTGTGGAGATCTAAAATGAAGGCCTTCTTAATGGCTTCAAACATGGCGGTTTGACTGACCAGAACTTTACCCCAAAGAGATTTTAAATTCATCTGCAGCCTGTTGCTGCGGCCGCTGGCAGATAAAGACGTTTGGAAGGTACTGGCCAGACTCGGCATCAGGTAGTAGAATTCAGTATAAGTACACTTTACCATGTACATAAACACGAAGTGGCTTCAGTTTTTCATTTTGTTAAGAACTTTTGTCATAAATCTTCGTCTTCGTCTTCGTCTTCCTCCGCTTATCCGGGTCCGGGTCGCGGGGGCAGCATCCCAATTAGGGAGCTCCAGGCAGTCCTCTCCCCGGCCTTGTCCACCAGCTCCTCCGGCAGGACCCCAAGGCGTTCCAGGACCAGATTGGAGATGTAACCTCTCCAACGTGTCCTGGGTCGACCCGGGGGCCTTCTGCCGGCAGGACATGCCCGAAAAACCTCCCCGGGGAGGCGTCCAGGAGGCATCCTGACCAGATGCCCAAACCACCTCAACTGGCTCCTTTCGATCCGGAGGAGCAGCGGTTCTACTCCGAGTCCCTCCCGAATGTCCGAGCTCCTCACCTTATCTCTAAGGCTGAGCCCGGCCACCCTACGGTGGAAACTCATTTCGGCCGCTTGTATCCGTGATCTCGTTCTTTCGGTCATTACCCAAAGCTCATGACCATAGGTGAGGATTGGGACGTAGATCGACCGGTAAATCGAGAGCCTGGCTTTCTGGCTCAGCTCCCTCTTCCCCACGACAGATCGGTTCAGCGTCCGCATCACTGCAGACGCCGAACCAATCCGCCTGTCGATCTCCCGATCCCTCCTACCCTCACTCGTGAACAAGACCCCGAGATACTTAAACTCCTCCACTTGAGGTAGGACCTCTCCCCCGACCCGGAGGTGGCAAGCCACCCTTTTCCGGTCGAGAACCATGGTCTCAGATTTGGAGGTGCTGATCCTCATCCCAGCCGCTTCACATTCGGCCGCGAACCTACCCAGCAAGAGCTGAAGGTCAGAGCTGGATGAAGCTAGGAGGACCACATCATCCGCAAAAAGCAGAGACGAGATTCTCCTGCCACCAAACTCGACACACTCCACACCACGGCTGCGTCTAGAAATTCTGTCCATAAAAGTGATGAACAGAACCGGTGACAAAGGGCAGCCCTGGCGGAGTCCAACCCTCACTGGGAACAGGTCCGACTTACTACCGGCTATGCGGACCAAACTCACGCTCCTCTGGTAAAGGGACTGAATGGCCCTTAACAGAAAGCCACCCACCCCATACTCCTGGAGCGTCCCCCACAGGGTGCCCCTGGGGACACGGTCATAAGCCTTCTCCAAATCCATAAAACACATGTGGATTGGTTGGGCAAACTCCCATGCCCCCTCCATCACCCTTGCAAGGGTATAGAGCTGGTCCACAGTTCCACGGCCAGGACGAAAACCACATTGCTCCTCCTCTATCTGAGATTCAACTATCGATCGGACCCTCCTCTCCAGTACCTTGGCGTAGACCTTTCCAGGGAGGCTGAGGAGTGTGATCCCCCTATAGTTGGAACACACCCTCAGGTCACCCTTCTTAAAGATGGGGACCACCACCCCGGTCTCCACTCCCTAGGAACTGCCCCCGATGACCACGCAATGTTATAGAGACGTGTCAACCATGACAGCCCTACAACATCCATAGCCTTGAGATACCCAGGACGAACCTCATCCGCCCCCGGGGCTCCGCCGCTGTGTAGTTGTTTGACTACCTCAGCAAATTCTGCCCCCTAGATCGGACAGTCCATCCCCAGGTCTCCCGGCTCTGGTTCCTCCTCGGAATGCGCATTGGTGGGATTGAGGAGCTCCTCAAAGTATTCCTTCCACCGTCCGACTATAGCCTCAGTTGACGTCAGCAGCTCCCCATCCCCACTGTAAACAGTGTGAGCGCGTTGCTGCCTTCCTCTCCTGAGGCGCCGGACAGTTTGCCAGAACCTCTTTGGAGCTGATCGAGCCTTTCTCCACGGCCTCACCAAACTCCTCCCACGCCCGAGATTTTGCCTCGGCAACTGCCACTGCTGCACCCCGCTTGGCTATCCGGTACCTGTCTGCTGCCTCCGGAGACCCACAGACCAGCCACGCCCTGTAGGCCTCCTTCTTCAGCCTGACGGCTCCCCGAACCTCTGGTGTCCACCAGCGGGTACGGGGGTTGCCACCACGACTTGCACCGGCCACCTTACGACCACAGCTAGCAACAGCCGCCTCGACAATCGCAGAGTGGAACAAGGCCCACTCGGACTCAATGTCCCCCACTGCTCTCGGGACGCGGTCAAAGCTCTGCCGGAGGTGGGAGTTGAAGACCGTCTTGACAGGTTCTTCTGCCAGGCGTTCCCAGCAGACCCTCACTATGCGTTTGGGTTTGCCAGGTCTACGCGGCATGTTCCCTTGCCATCTGATCCAACTCACCACCAGGTGGTGATCAGTTGACAGCTCCGCCCCTCTCTTCACTCGGGTGTCCAAAACATACGGCATAAATCATTACAGAAAATCTGTAGATGACTGAATTATATCGGACAGATGATGGAGCTGAGACCTGGAGTCAGCTGAGAGCTCCTGGTGGAGCACAGAGATGAAATATTTAACAGAAGTTAACAAGCTGAACTGATTTTGGTTCTGAAGATGAACAGAACCGTCCCCGGTGTCCTAATCGGGTCAAACGGTCTAAAACATGTCTGCACCTCCGGTAGTGATATCCAGCTGGCGGGGTCGGAGTCGGGTTGTTTACTACAGCTGTTTCAGCAGAAACCAGCTGTCCAGGACTTAGACCGGAGGTTAGTCTCTGTTTTTACCACGCCCGTCACAAACATCACATTTATTTACAATCCCGGTCATGAAAATCCAAAAACCTTGTTCACCCGAGGTGTAACACTTCTCGACACACGCTGTTCAGAGTTTTGCCTCTGGCCATTGAGGAGTTACGTAGGGTTTATCTCTGCAGAGCTTACTGTTGCGTCGAGGCACCTTTCCATATTTTAAAGGCTAGAATTTAGTCATTAGCTTAACCACGGGAAAAATGTGGCGAACGAGCTCTCAGCTTTCAGTCTAGTGAGGGAATCAACTGCTTCAGACACGGAGAGTGTCTGGAAATCCAAACGGTGAAAACGGATCACATCCTCCACCTCAAGTTACCACAAGTATGAACACAAATAAAAGCAAACCAAAATAAAACACTCAAGCAGTCACTCCTTTTTAAGACCAAGACAGCATCACAACAACAACACAGCTTTAACGAGCGTCAGACAAACACCTTGTGGGCGTTGGTTTGGTTTACCTGCTGACTGCCTCGCCAACATGTGGCTGTTTGCAGGTGGTTCCTTTTGATAAGCTGTCAACAGAATATAAAGGTATTCAGTAAAATGCAACACTCCATATAAATATGGATTATTAACATTATTGAACCTTTAACATTGCATTCATGATGGCACTAGGTACTTTGGGTGATACCGGGGAAACAACAGCATGATCATTCAGCACAGAGACAAAAATATCGTTTATGTGAAGTATTTTTACTTCACTGTCTGGTGAGCTCTTTCATTGACCTCTGACCTTACAAGGCTTTCTGAACTGTGAACTGACCCAAACCCTAACCTGGTATGTGACTCTGTACCTGTTCTGGTTTTATGATTCTCATCAGTCAGTTTCCTCTGTTTTAGGGGCGACAGGTGGCCACCCCAAGCTCACACCTGCTCCTCAGCCGTTGTCTAAACGCTTTTTGGTGACTTGGTGTGAAAAGTGCTTTACACGTAAAGGTTAACTGATTCTAATGTAGGTGTGAGAAGACCAGGCTGCAGATGGTCTCTGTACAACTAAGTCCTTCTCCTTCTCTTCCTCAGCCCAACGGCAGCTCCCAGGGCAAGGTCCACAACCCCTTCCTACCTACACCCATGCTGCCTCCCCCACCCCCTCCCCCCATGGCCCGGCCTGTCCCACTGCCCGTCGACACCAAGCCACCCTCCACGTCTTCCACTGAGGGGGGAGGAAGCAGCTCCCCCTCCTCACCCAGTGAGTGCACACACACACACACACACACACACACACACACACCTGCAAGGAGAACCAGCATGGTTCCGATTGGTTCTGGTAATGCTTGATAAGAGCAGATGCAGTTGGAATCAAAACAACCCGTTCTAACTGGTACCAACTTGATTGTGTGTGGGGTGGTTCTGGTTCTGGTGACCTCACGCTGACCCAGATCTGCAAATCTCTCCAGAACCCTTTTGCACTGGTAGCACCAGGCTAACGGTCTACTTCCTGCCTTTATGCTAATCACATCCTATACATCATCTCAATGTGTTCATGAAACTGTGTGTGTGTGTGTGTGTGTGTGTGTGTGTGTGTGTGTGTGTGTGTGTGTGTGTGTGTGTGTGTGTGTGCGTGTGCGCGTGCGTGCGTGCGTGCGTGCGTGTGTGTGGACAGCGTACTCCACGCCCACCACCTCCCCAGCCCAGCGCTTCGTCAGCGTCGGACCCCGGGATCCAGGCTTTAACATCCCCCAGCAGCCACAGGTAAAACCAACAGCTGGCCTCCAGCTGCCTCGGACCTTAGAGATGTAGTTGTTTACATTCAAATGTAAATGCAACTACCATCAGACTCCAGTATGAAAGCTTTGAGGCCATTAGGGGAACTGCACGAGCAGAAGAAGGTGTGGTGTGTTAATAACAATAATAATAATGCATTGAACTTATATAGCGCTTTTCTAGACACCCAAAGACGCTTTCACACACTCTCACATTCACACACTGCTAGTGATGGTAAGCTACTTGTAGCCACAGCCGCCCTGGGGAGGTCTGACAGAGGCGAGGCTGCCATTTGGCACCGTCGGCCCCTCTGACCACCACTAACACCTGACACAGGTGTGCTAGGCCATGTGATCTCTCTGCATCCCACAGCATTACATACGTGTCTGCTTTAGAACCACATGTGAAGATGGGCTGGGTTGGATTTAACGTAATAACTTATATTTTAGGAGGATAATCTGCTTGAGATGGAGCATCTGGTTTTTGAGTGGGTCCTCCCACCGTACAACTAATTCAGTACAGGATAGCCGAGTCCATGAGCAGCATAGAAGAAAATGAAGACGTAGGAGGAACGAATGAGAGAACAGCACAATAAAAGCTTTTTTTTCCTGCTGTGGCTCAGCACAAATAAAAACTTGTGGTGCTTTGTCACAATTTGGATCCTCAAACCTTCATCTAGAGCCGAGGGGCCAGGAGATCAAAGCTCTTTGATGTTCAAAGGTTGTCGTCGGTTTAGCGTCCAGGAATCAGCAGAGAACATCTTGGCTAGTAGTAGCTAACCATTAGCATTAGCAACTCCACCAATTCAATTCAATTCAAGTTTATTTATAAAGCGCCAAATCACGACAAGAGTCGTCTTAAGGACCTTCACATAATAAACATTCCAATTCACAGGTCATTCACCACACAGCAGAACTCCTCCAGGCTTGTGTTTCAGTGGAGATAAAACATCAGCGTTGCAGAGCACAGTCAGTGGTAGAGTCGTGTTGCTGTTAGCCAATCAGAAGAGAGATGTCCACATATCAGGAAGTAAGAATCCAGATCAGTCATGTGAAGCTACTTTCTGCTGCAGCAGAGTTGTCCATGCACTTGAGGGCTGTTATTATTATTATTTTGCTCATTTTATTTATTTATAAAGCACCTTTCACAACCTTAGACGCCCAAGGTGCTGAACACAACTAAAAGTTTACTTGTGTTGAATTTTTTTCCCCGAGTACGGCTTGCAAGGCATTTCCATTTTTGGTTCTTTTCTAAACACAGATAAGGTTGTCTACCTTGCTGATGTTTCGTTTGCGTCTGCAAACTTCCTCAGAGCTGACGCCGATGGTGGCGTCACTTCCTACTCCGTTTATCCGCGGGCAGCAGAGGGCGTTGTCGCCCTCATCATCGGAGAGGGGAGAGCGGGCAGCAGAGGGCGTTGTCGCCCTCATCATCGGAGAGGGGAGAGCGGGCAGCAGAGGGCAACAGCGTCCTCTGCTGCCCGCGGATAAACGGAGTAGGAAGTGACGCCACCATCAGCGTCAGCTCTGAGGAAGTTTGCAGACGCAAACGAAACGTTAGTGAGGTAGAGAAAACCCTTTCCTGTTTTAAAAAATGGAATTAGAAGTCAAACACAGCAAGAACGTACCAAACATGCTGCAAGGCATTCATTCCTACCAGAGACTGCTGCAAATGCATTGATTAAACAAGTGAACCACACCTTTAAAATACCTTGATTTCATAAAATATTACATTCATTTGTGCATCCTCAGTTTTCTTATACATTAGATGTGTGATGAATCAAACTATTAACTAAAACTCTGCACCTGCAGCGCTGTCAGGTTTCCTTAAACCGGCTCGTTCCAACAGGAAGAAGCCGACAGGCTGATATTTGTGTGATATCAACAATGTTTCCTGCCTAAAGCCATTTTGAGTTTAATTATTTCATTAAATGTTTCCTTTAGATGACACCCCAGAGTGTGGATTTCCATCTCGGTTGTCAGGGTGAGCCGTGACATGCAGTCAATAAGCAGGTTTATGTACAATATCGATAACGTAGCTTGCATTGTCCATATATGGTAGAAAGTGGGCGTGTAGGAGGAAGTGATCCAGAAGCACCTGAGCTCGTTTCTAGGATAGGTGTGATTTATGAAGCAGGAACTGCTGCAGCTGTGGCAGCAGAGTTTCATTGGCTGGTCTCTTTCTGGAGTATTTCTCTTACCCGATGGCACCATCTAGTGGCCGACAAGCACATCACACAAAAACTGTTGATCTGTTTGTTTAAGACGGCGACTTCACGTTTCTGGTTATAAATGTGCTTCTGTAGCGACAAACAGCTAAAACACGTTGTTTACGAGTTTTATTCTCATGTCATGTCGTGTTCTCATATATTTATGTTTTAGAGACTTACTTGTTCGTGAAAGTTCATCAACTCTGCATCTGCCGAGGTATTCCTTAAATGTGAAGCATGTAAGCGGTAGTCTAACACTATTGGTTAGTTCTGGTTGGCGTTCAGTTTCCTATTGCACGGAGGTCTGCGGGGCAGGGGGCGTGCTTAGCAAAAAAAAAAAAGAAGGCGTATTGCTTACATTATATCACAGTACATGATGAGACCATCACTTTTAGGGATTTATGAAAAATCATACATCATTTCTGAAAGGGGAAAACTCCAGAAAGACACTTTAAGTAGTTTTCGTAACCTGTCCAAAAAGGTTTTTAGATGAGGGCCCTGGTCTGTATGACCTGCTGGTAATCTGATTACCTAATTGGGTTCTTTTGGCTTAGATAAATAAAACTGAAGGTCATCAGCATAACTGATTTCAATAGTTTGGCCCAGTACAGGATAAAAGACCGTGCCCGTTGCCAATAATTCAGTTCAATTCAGTTTATTTCTAAAGCGCCAAATCAGTGCCAGAGTCGTCTCAAGGACCTTCACACAGCAAACATTCCAATGCCGGTCAGGTCATTAAGCCAATCAGAAAAAAGTTTCCTATATAAGGAACCCAGCAGGTTGCATCAAGTCACTGACTAGTCTCTCCAGCAATCCTCATACTAAGCAAGCATGCAGCGACAGTGGAGAGAAAAACTCCCTTTTAACAGAAATAAACCTCCAGAGAATCCTGGCTCAGTATAAGCAGCCATCCTCCATGACTCACTGGGGATGGAGAAGACACACACACACACCAAGTAGTGTTTCTATGTTTACATTGTGATTTCTTAGTAAATATTCTATTTGTTGAGGGATAAACTTTATTGTATTTATCCTAGTGGATCTATAATTAAACGGGTAAACTAGTAGTAGCACATCCAACGTCAAGGAAAGTAAAAAGTTATTATCAGGAGAGGGAGAATGTATTAGTGGTTAGCAGCAGTGTGCCAGTCGATGGCCCCCTCCATGAGGCCACCACAGCTCAGCAGAACATCGTTGTAGCTTCTTCTGGGGAGAAAAACACTTAGAGAGAAAATAAAGTTAACAGCTGAAATAGCAGGAAATAATACAGTTAAAGAGCAGATTGTAGAAGAAAGCAGTAGATTGTGGAAAGTGGTCAGTGTGTCCTCCAGCAGTCTAAGCCTATAGCAGCATAACTACAGAGATAACTCTGGATAATCTATCCTATTTAGATGTAGGCATGTTGGAGGCAGGGCAAGGGAGAGCCGTCTTTACCGACTGTACACTCCACCTCCCTCTACTCCCCCACTTATCCAGATTTAGGCTAACATCAGATTTTAACCATAGGCCCTATCAAATAAAAATGTTTTAAGCCTATTCTTAAAAGTAGACAAAGTGTCTGCCTCACGGACTAAAGCTGGGAGCTGGTTCCACAGGAGAGGAGCCTGATAACTAAAAGATCTGCCTCCCATCCTAATATTAGATATTCTGGGAACCACCAGTAAACCTGCAGTCTGAGAGTGAAGTGCTCGGTTAGGAACGTATGGAACAATCAGATTCCTGATGTATGATCGGTGTAATGCAGGAGTGGGGAACCCTGGTCCTCGAGGGCCAGTAACCTGCATGTCATTGCTCCAACACTTCTGTTTCAGTGGTTGATTCAGCTGTTCTGCAGCTCATCAAGCTCTGCAGAATCTTGTTAATCACCTGCTGACTGAAATCAGGTGTGATGATGAGGGGTTGAAACTAAAAAAATATGCTGGATAGCGGCCCTCGATGGACCAGGGTTCCCCACCCCTGGTCTACTGTATGATGGCAGGAGTGGGTGGAGCTATGCATTCTTTGGGTAAAACCAATTGAGTCTAAGATATTACTAAAGGCTACATTGAGGCTATCATTTTCAATGTCCACATGAATATTAAAATCCCCCACTACAATGACCTTATCAGTATTTAGCACCAAATCAGATAAAAAATCAGAGATCTGATCCAAAAACTCAGAGTAAGGGCCTGGTGGACGATATAAAACTACAAACAAGAGTGGTTTTACAGTTTTGCAATCTGGATTAGGAAAACTAAAAATAAGATGTTCAAACGAACTGTAACTATTAATCTGTAAGGGATTGATTAATAAGTCCGAATGAAAAATGGTTGCTACTCCTCCTCCTCGCCCTGTACTTTGAGCAATATGATGATTTAAATAATTTGAAGGAGTCGACTCGTTTAAGCTAACATAGTCCTCTTGCTGCAGCCAGGATTCTGTGAGAGAGAGCAAAGAGATCTGATTATCACAAATCAAGTCATTAACTAACAAAGTCTTAGAAAAAATGGATCTAAAGTTCAACAACCCACATTTAATTTTTCTAGTTTTCTGCTCAGTTGAATTTGTTCTAATATTTATGAGATTTCTATGGTTTGCTTTATTAAGCCTGATATTTAATCTGTGTGGTTTTGGCCGTGGGCAGGACACTGTCTCTATGGGGTAGTGGGTGGGTAACAGTGCAGAAGCTGCAGAGGGGTGTGTTAAACTACAACTCTGCTTCCTGGTCTGGACCCTGGGTTGTCATGGAGGACTAATAAAACTGGCCATGTTCCTAGAAAGAAGAGCTGCACCATCCAAA